TGGTTTGCTTTAATTATTACTTCATCACATTGGTGACTCATATTTATTTTGGAGTCAACTACGACTTCCGAGATCCCTTTCCACAGTTGTGCTACTTAGAATGGTGCCTCCCAGGCTATAGAAGTGTTAATGATTCTTCATCTCTAGGTGCAACACATGACACTTATCTTTATTAAACCCCCCACTTCCACAGCCTGTTCAAATCTGCCTGGATTCACTCCCTGCCCTCTAGCTTGTTTACCTCACCCCATACTTTGGTGTTGTCTGCAAACTTGGACAGAGTGCTTTCTACTCCCTCATCCAAGTCACTAATGAAGATATTGAACAGTACCAGGACAGAGACTTGGGGGACTCTGCTGCCTACATTTCTCGAGTTAGAACCCGACCCATCCCCCACCACTCTCTGAGTGTGTCCCATAAGCCAATTTTCCACCCACTGCACTGTGTAATAATCTACATTACAACTGTTTAGTTTATTTACAAGAATTTGGTGTGACACTATGTCAAAATCTTTTAAAAATCTAAGTAAATAACATCTACCTCTATTCCTTCATCCAAGCATTTTGTGACCCAGTCATAAAAAAGAAACCAGGTTAGTTAGGCAGGATCTGCCTGCTATGAACCCATGCTGGTTGCCCCTTAGCATTATTTTACCTTCTGGTCCCCCACAAATGTGATCCTTAACAATTTTCTTAAAGGTCTTGCCAAGGATAGGTGTGAGGCTAACCTGCCTATAGTTACCTGGTTCCACCTTCCTCCCCTTCTTGAAAATAGGGACCACATTGGCCCTTTTCCAATCCTCTGGGTCCTGTCCTGAGCACCAAGAGTGCTCAAACAGTTGTGCCAGTGGATCCACTAGGACTCCAGTTAATTCCAATCAGGTCCTGTTGACTTAAATACATTCAACCCCTCCAGATGCCCCTTTACTAGTCAGCACTAACAGTTGGAGGTAATCTTGCGATTACCTAAAGTCCCAATGGAATGCATGTTTGTATTCGTGTCCAGGAACACAGATGCAAAGAAATCATTTAGAAGCTCTGCTTTGGCCATCCTATCTATTACCAGTTGCCCTAGTCCATGTTGAAGGGGCCCTATGTTACTCGTGTCCCTCTTTCTCCCTTCTTGTTTCATTCTCCATTTCTATCTCTGTCTCCCTCTCATCTCCATCTACATCTATGTCTTGTCTTCTTCTTGGACTCCATCTCTGTCCCTATCTCCATCTCCATCTACACCTCCTTCTCCATCTCTGACTCATTCTCTGTCTATGTCCCCATCTTCATCTTGGCTCTGTCTTCATCTCTGTTTCATCTCCACCTCCATCTCTAACTTGGCCTCCATCTCTAACTCATTTTTCATCTCGGTGTCATCTTTGTCTCTGTCTCCTATCTCCATCTCTTCTTATCTCCCTCTTGGTCTCCCTCTCTGTCTTAGTCTCCGTCTCTGTCTATGCCTCCTTCTCCATCTCTTACTAAACACTGTTTATGTCCCCATCTTCATCTCCATCTCATCACCATCTCAGTCTCCATCTCTGTCTCCATCTCCATCTCCTACTCAGTCTCCATCTCCATGTCTGTCTCATCTCAGTCTCTGCTTCCATCTCTGTTTCCATCTCATTCTCCATCACTGTCCCTGTCTCCATCTCATCTCTGGCTTCATGTCCATCATGTCTCAGTCTCTGTTACCATCTCTGTTTCTGTCTCCATCTCTGTCACCATCCTGTCTCTGTGTCCAATATGGTCTCCACCTTCAGTTCATCCCTGTATCTCTCTCCCTCTCTGCCTCAATCTTTGTCTCTGTCTCCTACTCAGTCACTGTCTCTGTTTCCATGTCCCCTCCTTCTTCGTCTCCATCTCCATCTTGTCTCCATCTCCATTTCAGTCACTGTCTCATCACCCTCTAAGTCTCCATCTCTGTCGTTTTCTCTTTCTCTACCCAGTCTCTGTCTCCATCTCCACCTCATCACTATTTCCATCTCTGTCTCTGTCTCCCTCTCCATATCCATCTCTGTCTCATCTCCTGCTCCATCTTGTCTCCCTCTTCATCTCTGTCTCTGTCTCCATCTCCTTCTCATCCTTGTCTCCGTCTCTGTCTCTGTCTTCATCTCATCTCCGTCTCCATCTCCATCTCCATCTCAGTCAGTGTCTCCATCTCTCTCTCTCTCTGCACCTAGTCTCCATCCCATCTCCATCGCCTTCTGTGTCTCCATATCTGTCTCCTTCTGCACCTAGTCTCCATCCCCTCTCCATCTCCATCCCATCTCTGTCTCTGCCTTAATCTCCATCTCCTTCTCCTCTCTGTCTCTGTGTCCATCTCTGTCTCCGCCTCCATCTCATCTCCGCCTCCATCTCATCTCCATCTTCATCTCCATCCCATCTCCATCTCAATCTCTCTCTCTACCTCCTACTCAGTCTCAGTCACTGTCTCCATCACAGTCTGCACCTATCCTCTGTTTCCATCTCCAACCCATCTCCATCTGTCTCTGTTTTCATGTCCTCTCCTTCTCACATTCATATGTATGCACATACCCACATGACACACAAACACACACACTGTTACCTGTCAGCTCTGTCTTCCTGAGGGAGGCCTAACACCCAGCTTGCTGGACTTACAATGGACTTTTTCTATTTCCCCCCCAACACACACACACATACCTCATCTAACCAGAACGAAGCAGAAGAGAAGTTTAATAGGCATCTTGGGCTGTACATTCCCCAGTCCCACTATGGGAGGCCTATTTAAACTCGATTGACTAAAACTCGGTCACCAGGTTAGGCAATGCTGAGGCAAAAGACCGAGTCAGAGGGGGTATGGGCAACATTGAAACAATGGTTAAGGGTTACAACAGGTAAAAATACAAAACCCTGATGCTGCAAGCATACCTAAGCCATCTGAGAAGGAACAATGAGGTATCCCATCCAGTATATCTGCTCTTCATAAGAATTTCAAGCTCACTCCTAAGTGTCTGGTTACTCCTTAACCTTATGTTTTTCCTGGTTATTAAACAGTTTCTTGAAATGTTCAAAACCAGATAACCCCTTGTCAATAGAAAAGATAATTATTTACACAATTAAAAGAATGCTTTGAAGAAACTGAACTGAGGGTATAAAAATCTGTAAAAGCAGCAAGCAGTATGCTTCAAGAGGGAGAAATCTCTCTGACACCATCCGCTGTTGTTCTCAAGAAGCTGAAAGAAACAGATCGTCTCTTTCCATCGTCTGTTTAACCTTCAAGGATCATGCCGAGAATTTTACCTGTCAGCAAACAACCTGAGTGCATTGGAATGGTGAGATTCCAGCTATCTCTCTCTCTCTCTCTCTCTCTTTTTCTCTCTAGGCATAGCTTTCTAAACCTGAATTGTATTAGTTAAGCTTGAGCTAAGTTTCCCCAAATACTCAATAAAACCAGGGTAATATTGTAATTGTTTTTGTTTGTTTTCCCTTGCATGTCTATTACTACTAGTACCATTATACATTTCATATACTTAGTAATAAATAACTTTTATAGTCAAACTGGTGGTAACTGGGTCTATTTTTCCTTCTCTACTTCTCCTTCCCCACTTGCTCTGCAGCAACACTTCTTTTACCTAAGCCAAAGATCCCTGTGAAGCCCAGAAATACTGTGGGGTCTGCTAACCAAGAGGCTACCACTACTAGGACAGATTGGGATGTGCTGAGTTTGGGACGCATAAGGGGACATGCTGAGTTTGAGACACATAAAGGGATCAGCTTATACAGGCTGATTAACCCAGGTTGGCTCAGATGTGCCCTAATTAACTGAATGCTGGCCCATGAGGGTG